CAATTCGGACATATATCGCTTTCTTCTAAAATTTCACAAATAAACACTAATAATACACACCAAAAATAATGAATTAAAAACAGAAATATTTTCCATAAAAGATAGAGGAGTAATTTCATCAATGGTAAAAACCAAATAAAAACCATTTCTAATGTAAATGGAGTGAATAAAATAAAAGCATGAATGGCTATGCCTCTTAACTTGTTATTATGAGCCCAATGCTCAAGTTTATCGGCAAGCAAATCACATTTTTCTATATAACTTGGAAACATATTATAGTCTTTTAAGATCGAACTAACAATAATTATCAATACTAACCAACAATAACGAATGATGAATACAAACAATTTTATTAAAAGATAGATAAAAATTTCTCTGATTGATAATGAACCAATTTTACAATGTTCACATAAAGCAGGTAAACCTAGGATCAAAATAAAGACTATGCCGTTTTTTATCTTACTCTGTCCAGTCCAACGATCGATTTTAATCATAAATGAATCAAATTTTTTAGTATAACTTAGAAATATTTTATTATTGTGTAAAATTGCACTAATCGCAATTATTAATATTAACCAACAATATCGAATCATAAATAAAAATAATTTTGTTAAAAGAAACAATAAGATCTCTCGTATTGTCATCGATCGAATTTTACAATGTTCTAATAAAGCTGGAATAATGAAGATCGGAATCATGATTATGATCAATTTCAATTTACTTTGTCCGATCCAATGTTGAATTTTTTCTGATATTAATTCATAGTGTTTTGTATAACTTGAAAATATTTTATTTTCTTTTAAAATTTCACTAATAATTATTATTAATATTGGCCAACAATAAATAGTTATTAATTGACATAATTGCCATAAAAGAAAAAAAACTAATTTTATCATTGGTACAAACCATATAAAGCACATTTCTAATATAAATGGACTGATAAAAATAGAAATCAACATGAGTACTCTTCGAAATTTGTTATCTTTGCTCCATTGAATTATGTCCTTTTTTAAAGCATCATATAATTTAATATATTTTGGAAAATATTGATGTTTAATAATAATCGATTCAGTTATTAAAACTATTAAAAGTACCCAACTATAATATATTATATATATTAATGATTTCCATAAATTTAATAAAATAAATTTTAAAATTGGTATAGCAAAAAGAAATAATATTTGTATAATAAGTGGACCAATTAATATTGAAAAAAGAATTACTCTATTTTCAAAATTATCATTTCTATGCCAATGACTTAATCGTCGTCTTAGTTTTGTATATTTTGCATCAAGATTATATGAAAGATAATTATCAATGTTTGTTTTTATTTCTTGATATTTTCTAGTAAAATTTAGAAAATATTTTTGTTTAATTATCATTCCATCAAGAATAAAAATTAAAATCAACCAATTATATTGAATAATAAATAAAACTGGTAATAATAGGGGATAAAAGAATCTTGTTAAAACTAAATCTAATAGAAATGGTATTGTTAGTATAATGAACCAACGAAATTCACGTCTAATTCCATGTTTTATACACCAATCTCGCATAATTTGTTTAATTTGTTGATAATTTTGAATATAATTTGAAGAATATTCATAACTTGTAAATGATTCACAGAGAAGAATCAATAAAATTAACCAAGAATATCGTATACATATTAGAAGAATATTTACTATTGTTGAATTATACAAGAAAAAAATTTCTAATAATAATGGACCACTTAAAATTAAAGAAATTATAATGCCATACTTTAAATTACTATATCTATACCAATTCTGTAATTTTTGTTTAACAAATTGATAATATCTAGTGTAAGTTAAGAAATAATTTTGTGATAATAAATATTCATGTATAATAACATAAAAAGTTATCCAATTAAATCGAATTAAAAATATAAGAAAATTCGATAAAGATATTGAATACGATTGAAGATTTATATCCGTAGAGAAATATTGTGTTTTTATTTTCAAACTTGTTTTAATAATATTTAAGCTAGAATCGAATTTATCTATGATATTATATTGTTTTTGTAAAATATGAAAAATTGTGGTTAATATTATTAGACCAAACAAAAATATCAATGACCATTTAATTAGTGGACGTTGGATAAATACTTTCGATGATGCTGGAATTATTCGTTTTTTAGTTTCTAAACATAGTGATCAATTAGATACAAAATAGATATAAATAAAAACTAATGTTTAGCCGTTAGAATTAGCCAGAGAATCGGGTTTCTATTCAAGTCGAACATCTTGCAAGCAAGATCTCGGTCGAGATCTTCGATACACCAAAGTTAACAGGTCTTGAAAATTTAGATACAAGATAATAATATTATCTTGTACCAACATCTTGCATTAGATCTTCATTACAGACATGTAAAAACTTGGGAGCAGATTTATAAGATCTTAGGTATAAATCCGTAAGATCTGGGTACACACTACGATAAAAAGTGTTGCATGTATCGGATTTGTAACACAATCCATGATAAAATCTGAAAGCGTGGGTCAAACCTATTATACAGTGTATTTACTATTCTTTTTTTTGTAAAAGCATGTTATCAAATTTTTCAATTTATCTTCATTTGAACTATTCCTATTCCAAATAAAGAAAACAAGTCCAATCTCGGAGCCCGCCTGTTCTTGAGATCGTTCCATCTTCATCAGATGGCTTCAAGTAGCCCTCTCTCGATCAGCGATCGAAATCAGCAATTTCTCGAATGATTATTAGTAGAGAAAAGGTTTAGAAAAAAAAAATTATTTCGAAAAATCTACGTTTCGTATGTTCAGTCACGTTGTTTATATACAGCTCTGTATGCATAAAAAAACGGTGAATGACTAGTCAGTATGTAGCCAATACAATAGTGTTGTCGCTGTTTGTTTTTCTTCAAGATCTTGTGAAAAGATAATACTAAATGATATCCTTTTCATGATCTAAACACGATCTTCAGCACAGACTTATCTGATACACTCAAGATATGCACATACACATTCTCTTGTCAAGATCTTCTCAAGATCTTGCTTACAATATGTTTGACTAGGGGTACATGTACATTGGGAGTAGCTGGCCCTTGTATTCGCACTTTGGCTGGTCTAAAACTAAAATTATGCTTTTCGACTGTAGGAGCGATATTTCAAGATTGAATTTTTCGGAGGCGCAAAGTTCGAATTCGAATTTTTTGAAAAACATGATTTTTGAGTCACCAATATCGTGTTAACGTTAAATACGAGATTCTTGTTTCCGACGGCAATTAGAAGAAAATTGAAATATTGCTGCTGTGGTGGAAAATCAATGTTTCAATTTTCGACCAATCAGAATGCGAACAAAAAGGACCAGCGATTTCCGATGTACATACTGAGAATGAACCCTTTACATTAACGCAATTTAAAAAAAAATGGAGAAATACTATGAACATGAGAGTCTATTAAGTCGAAGACTTTCTCGACTATGGAACGCAATATTTTTCTTTTATGATGAACAAAAAAAAATTTATTAATTAAACTCTTCATAGAAAGCCTTTCTAAAGTATCTATTATCAATGTCTAAGCTTGAGTGTAGGTGTCTAATTCAAGTTTGAATGTAAATACAAAATAGGAAAAAAAGATAAAGATAAAACTTTATATAAACTATAATTTATAAAGTGGAACCCACGAAAATGAATATATTTTTGTAGCAGCTGTGCAGCTAACCAGAAACAGAGAACTTTCGGAATTGAAAAGTACCAACAAAAAAAAAAGATCAGTGTGCACAGAGGCTTGCATGTGTCGCAGGTCATGAATGTTTCAACCGTTAGACACTCCTACGCAAAAACAGTATGATTGAGTGATTTCGAAGTTAGTCATCAAATGAGAAAGAGGCCTAAAATTCTTGAGTAAGAAATATCGCATCGATGATGTTGATGAAAATCTAACTACTAGTGATGAGAAACGCCTATTTGAATAAATTAGAAGTCCTAAAAAACATGATATAGTTGCAAAATGGAATTCCACATTTACTCTCCATTGCTTTATAAGACAATCATATAGCTTGTGCTCCTGATTCCACTGCTTTTCAACTAAGTTGCACAGGGAGACGTACATTCGTTGCGGTTCCTTGGACAAAAGTACTTTTTTGAAGTTATCAATCCAATAGAAAATGTTCATCTATTGTCAATTTCCAACAAAATTACTGAAGAGTGGAAAAATCTATAGTGACATCGTTGAAAAGTAACTACGACTAATGAAAAAGTTCTTTCTCAGCAAACTGTGGGTGAGTAAGTACTCAAAAATGTAGTCTACTTATGAATTGGATCTAGACAGTCCATAGCTTGTAGTTCAGATGCTACTATTGCATTAAAGTATGGAAAGAGGCACTGAAAACACAGGGATCACTATGTGCTCAGACAGATGCCGGAGTCATGACTCTTGGTAGGTCACTGTGTACTCACGTTCCAATACGAATAGAAAGTGTCAAATACATCAGTAGAAATGCTCCTCACGAACTTGGTTTTTATGGCTCAGAAAATCGCTGCATGAATTCATTTTTGCCCGAAAAATGAACATATCCTATCAAATAATTACGAATGTGAAACTTGAAACTTGAATTCGATTGAAATTTCAGCTTTCAAGTTTAACCTTCAACTTCAAAGACCCTTCCACCGCACCCGCACCTACTCTAATGATTTGTATATGTGTCAGATTTTAGAAGTCGTCAGTGTTGAAACTTGAATTGAACTTTCAAGTTTCACATCTATCAACTTAAATGAAAGAGTTCATGCAGACAGACTGAGAACCACAATTTCACATTCCATTAGAAAACTTGAACCTGTTCACATACAGTTGGAAAGGCTTCTCTTCATCGTTCAGATCTACCAGGGACATTTTACATGAATTATCCCTGAAGCCCTTCTGCTAACAGACCATATGTATCTCTTTCCATTTCTCAAAAACTACAATTGTAAGTTCGCTCAATTATTTTCGTTTCTTACATTCTACTTTACAATCGTGTGCTTTCGAATTTATAAACTGCTATTTATACAAAGTTTTATCTTTTACTGTTTTTACTATTTTAGCATGGAAGTCATTGTTTCTATTTATTTTCGAAGTGCTTATAGATTGTTCTTGTCTTCATTTATATTCGAACTTGAATCAGGCAACTTATGTTTTCAAAAATTTATGTTAACTTACTAAGGCAATTAGTACATGTTTACTACTAACTCTTTAATTTTTATTACATAATAACTAAAGTCTATAACATAGATGAATAGGTTTTACCTGAACTTTGATCTTGTTGGTTTACTGTGTCTTTTGTTGATAATATTGTTGTATTATTATTGTCAGAACTGTTATCTGGAAGACCGGATGAATCCAATTGAACATTGCTATCAGTTTCATCGAGAGGTTTAGGCTGTTTTTCGAAAGTAACGAATACATTTCGAATAGGTACTGTACGAGCTCGAGCACTAACATGAATATAATTTAATTGATTAAGATCAAGATCAGATTTTGAAAATGTTGAAGAAATTTGTTCATGATTATATATTGAATTAGGACCTGCATGAGATAAAATAACTTTACCTGTTGAACGTTGAATTTCAAGACAAAATGTCATAAAATCATCTGTATTACATCCAATATAAAATGATCGAGATTTAATTGCATATTTAGTTCCATTAATAACAAATTCATGTTGAAATGGTCGACCATTATATAAATAAGATTCATTTTCATGATAATGAAAATCTTTTGTTGATGGTTTTTCAGCTATATAAGATATTAAACAACGTAGATTAGGTTGTTGTTTTCCTGTATTAATTTGTTCATTTGATAATGTTAACATCATATCACCATTCATAACTTGCCAATAGATATAAAATGGAATATCATCACTTGAAACATTTGAATAATCAACTTTATATTGTTTATATGCTTGTGATATTGTTATAGGTAAAACATAATGATCAGTAAGATCACTTGAAGGTATTGTTATAATAGTTCCTTGAATAGGTCTCGAAATAGAATGAATATCACGTTGACCATATTTTTCAATTATATCTTTTATAACAAAATCTTGATATTCTATTCGAATTTTTGAATCAGGTTTAGGACCGAATGGTCCTTCGAATCGATCAAGTTCAATTTCATGTGATGTTTTAGTAATACGACCTTTGAAAGTAACATCAATAAATTTTCGTGTATTAGTACTTAATGAATCGAATATGTTCTGTGACATATAAATATGATCAATATAATCAAGTGGAATAAGTTGAGGTAAATGAGCTTCAATGACCGTATGAGAATCTCGAGTAAGCCAATGTTTAAGAATTGTATCTAAATTAATATTCATTGACTTTTTCTTTAAACTCTGACTCATCATAGCAATCAGTTCAAGTGCAGTTGCATATTCATAACCTGTTATTGCAGCATGTAATTTTGTTTTATGAAATAAATTGACTCCATCATCGTTAGAAGTCGAGTCACTGCGCAACCAAGGTCGCCAACTAAAACAATTACCACTAGCATATGATGTTGCTGCTTGAAGTGAAAAGTTTGCATCTGGATGGTGAAGAATTTCTCGTTTGAAAACAATAAATACATCTCCATAATAGTGTCCTAAATGAGGTCCAAGAACACTAAAAACACTTTTATTTGTACCTAAATCTTTATCACGTTCATAACCAATACCAGCTGGATTTGAATGAAGTTTAATAGAAGCTTGAGCTATTTCAATAGCTTTTGTTTTAATTGTGTTTATTTCTTCGAGAGATATTACATTCGATAGAATAACTTCTTTACTTTTTATTAAATCTTCACGAGATTTCATTGTGTCCATTTCAGAAGATAATAATTGATTCCCAGCTTGAGTCTCATCCATATTTATCACTTCATAACGTTTTTTAGCAAATTCTTCATTGACTAATGCTTCAATATATTCTCTAACATGTTGAGCGACGTTTCTCTCTTTTAAACATTGAATTCTTCGTATTTCACTATGTTGAAAAACAGATGTAACAACTTTTTCTGGAAATCTTAGTTGTTCCATATAATCTCTACTCATAACATGTCCATGAAGAAGTATTGATTCAAATATTTCTCGTCGACATCGATGAACTGGTTGTACAGTACAAATCCAATCAATAATATTTTGTGGAATTGATCCAGATTTAAATGTTTCCCATTTTTCTTTTTTT